GAACTTGGCTACGTCCGTGAAGACGACGTAGTGCCTCAGGTCGCACGTCCGCCTCTCGCCGTCCATCAGCGACAGGGAGACGACGCCGCGGAGGAACCAGGGGCCGGCCGCGCCCGCGGAGCCTGCTTGCGCCGGGTCCACGGGCCCGGGCAGCACCAGCCCGCCGCCGCTGTCGCCGTTGCAGGGGCCGGAGCCTGGAGAAGGGGAAGGACCAGGAGGTCAGATTGAGTCGGCTCGGCGAGGGACTTGCCAGGGGAAGTCCCACCGGGTGGTGCTTACCATTTCTGAAGCCGGCGCAGTGTTCCATCTGTAGAGTGATAACCTTTTTACTATTATTATTTTATTGAAATCAAGCTGATGGAGTTTATTATCCATGAAGACAGTGCATAACATTTAAGTTCAGCATAGTTTATGTTAACAATGTGATAATTTTCATATTTTCCTACATCACTTCAGGCCTGATTTTTGTGTTCTTTTTGATTAAGATCAATCAATAGGCGTTATCACTAATCATCAATCATCACATTTGCAAAAGGTGCTTCATTTGTAATCTGTCTTGATATCAATAATTTGTTGCATTCATGTTTCTACTGTGAACATGTTGGTAAACATTTATTTGTTGATTTCTATTCCATGTTAAAAATTTGAGAACAAATCAAGTCAGAGCCATTTGAGTGTGGCTTGTTTAGGTGGATTTACGATAGCAACGCAGCAAGCGTAAAAACAACGCTTGTAAGGTCCTCTTGCACTCTCCCCTCGCCCTGTTCTGGCCACTACGCCTGCATTGAAGATATGCTCGCTGCGTTCCGATCGTAAATCTCCCTTTTCTCTTTCTTTGGTTTGTTATCAATGCTTATGGCTAGAACAATTTTGTTTTTGTTATTTAGTTTATAATTATTTGTGTATTAAATTTTGAGTTTATAAAAGTGAAAATCATTCCCCTTTTCTTTCTTAGTTTTTATTAGTTAAATGTTGCTTGCAAAGTTTGATTTCTATTTCTAGCTAATGCTAAAGGAAACTCTATATCTCTTTATCTCTTTGAATGTTCTGATACCTACCTTCCTTTATATTTCTGCGTTAAGGTTTCTCTGGTTGAGAGTTGTTGGATACAATGAGCTTAACAGTCTCATTTTCAAAGGAACAAAGTTTTAGCAAGTAACTCTTTCCCCTGTTCCATGAGAGTATAGAGAGTATAGAAGAAAAGTGCATATGTGATTTGATTTCAATTTAATCAGTATTCTTGATTGTTAGCAATAAGTTAACTTGTCCAGTGCTATTGATTTGTGTGTGTGCTTTTTCCTATTATCATTATCCATGTTTTGTTATTTTTGTTTACGTCCAATTCAGCCACATTCAGCTAAAGGATAGATGACCAAATTCCTCCAAGTGCTTCCTCTTCAAAACATAATCTAAGAATGTATTATTTTACTTGAATCCTCACTCACACACACAACGAAGTAGCTTGGCATATGTAATCATTTCATGTGTTCTCTAATATCTTTAATATGGTGTGTTAAGTCGGCATTTGCTGCAGTAAATGCGACATTGACCTGCATGTAAATGGTATTTGAAAAAGTTTGGGTGGTCTTTGTCTCCTTTTCTGTATTTATGTACTGATTTGTTTGAGACTGAATCTTGATAACATCAAATATGGGATGTGTTTAATGGATGATTGATTTGTATTTTACTGTTAGTAATGTATAATCTTAAGAAAGGAAATGTAAGTTGTCAGTATGCAAAGTTTAATTTTTAGGAAGTGGTGATAGCCATCCCCCACTTTTATAAGTCTGTTGAATCTCGTTTATCTGTCTGAAATTGTTTCATCTGTTTTCTAGAGTGTAAATCCTTGTTTTTGAGAATTAATTTTTGTTTTGTTTGTTCATGGGAACTGCTGTGTTGTACGTTATCTGTTTGTAGTGACCCTAAATTCTTTTTGCTGTATTCATTTGTTGAGCAAAGTTATGTTTTGTGGGCGAGACAGGTCATAAAGTTATGTTTTCTTGGAATCAGTGTAAATATCATGTGGTACTGTGTTTATTGATATACATAATACATACCACAAAGATTTCTCCTGTTTGTACATTTTCTAGATTTATTCCTCCTTTTATTATTTTGCACATCATCTAGTCAGTTGTTTGTGCGTGGTATAGCCTATTGGAGTTTTCAGAAAGAAAACTTCAGTATGCCTAAACCAGTGACCATTTTAATTATTATCTTCAGTGCCATGTGATTATAAGTATTTCAAATGTCAAGAAATGAACACCACTTTCGGTCATTTATGTCTTCATTCTGTGTTTTCAGCAAATATGTATATTTTTGGACATAAATTTACATTACTGTAAGTTTAATTTAAATTTTCTACTCAATATATTTTCTACAATACTTGAGAATTTGGCTTTCAAAACTTTCTAATGGTCATGTCACTTATTTACTTAATAACAATCAAAATTAATTCATAAGCCGTAGAGGTTTATTTGTCTATTCATAGAAGATTTTCATAACATAACTGATCTAGTATAGTTCTGCCCTCTTTGAAATAGTATATAGTGTGTACTTTCAATGTGTGTTGTAGTGTGTTCATTACTCAATTTTCTTGAATGTGTGCAAACTGTACTGAAGGATTGTCTTTTCTACTCTGTGTGTTTGGTTACTTTGTAGTTACTAATGTAACTGAAATTTCATGATCTGCTCTTGTCCATCACTGGCATAAATAAAGTCAACTTCATTAGTACATACCTCACAGTCTAATCAGTTTCTTTTACACAAGGAGTCGCCTTTTTATGGTATATTGCAGTCTAAGTGGAATGCATCACAAGTCAGCCGTCGGCACTACGCACTATATTCACCGGTAGTAATTTCCTTCAGTCTATTTAAGTCTATCACATCAAGGTTACTTCCAAAGCGGAAACATGTCACGCCCTTCTCTTGCCACCGACGGGTCCATGGTCATCAGTTCGGCAGGGGATCCGAGTCCCAGATGGGCTGGTCATCCAGGTCTGTCTGCGTCTCCACCTCGACCTGCTTGGTGGAGCCAGGCGGCGGCCTGACCGCTCGGCGTGGAGCTCTGATGAGGCCGGACAGCCAGCCGCGGAACTTGGCTACGTCCGTGAAGACGACGTAGTGCCTCAGGTCGCACGTCCGCCTCTCGCCGTCCATCAGCGACAGGGAGACGACGCCGCGGAGGAACCAGGGGCCGGCCGCGCCCGCGGAGCCTGCTTGCGCCGGGTCCACGGGCCCGGGCAGCACCAGCCCGCCGCCGCTGTCGCCGTTGCAGGGGCCGGAGCCTGGAGAAGGGGAAGGACCAGGAGGTCAGATTGAGTCGGCTCGGCGAGGGACTTGCCAGGGGAAGTCCCACCGGGTGGTGCTTACCATTTCTGAAGCCGGCGCAGAACGTGCGCTCCGAAGTGACATGCAGGAACTCGGTCCTGCTGCGCAGGCAGGCCTCCTGCGACACGATGGGGAGGCTTGCGGCGCGCGGCTCGGAGCTGAGCGCGTGCCCGTGCTCGTCGCGGCCCCAGCCCACCACCGTGCCCACGCGGCCCACCACCTCGCCCAGCGCCTCGGGCCCCGTCCAGTCGATGCACACGGGCCGCACGAACCAGTCGTACGCCACGCGCTCCGACAGCTGCAGCACCGCCACGTCCGCCGTGTAGTTGGCGGCCTGGTGGTCTGGGTGCACGTGCACCGCCGCCACCTGGAGGACGAGAAGTGCGCCGTCAGCGAGGTCAAAGGGAGAGGGACGCCACGCACGCTGCAACCAGGCTCACCTCTCTGGCCTGCGCCTGCGGCTCGGTCCACTTGCGCACATTGTGGCGGCCCAGGTAGACGAGCAGGGCCTCGGGGTTGTGGCGGTGGACGCAGTGCGCCGCCGTCAGGACGTGGCCCGCCGACACGAGGCTGCCGGCGCAGTGGTACTCCAGGCCGAGGGACGTGGACACGAACACGGCGCTTAGCCATGGCCAGTCCCCGGGGTTGGAGGCGCCGCCCCCGGCCACGAGCAGCCGGTGGTGCACTGGCCGTCCGCACACTGCAACAAAAAAGGCTTGGGGAGTAAAAAACAAACCGCACAGTCGTGGCCACTGCACCAGGCCGCCGCGTTCTCCCTCACCCTGGTCGTCGTCGTCGCTGTCTTCACTGGTGGTCTCCGCGGTGCTGGCGCCCTGCAACGGCGCTTCCGGGGTGCTGTCGTTCTGCACGAAGAGCTGCACGGTGCCGGGTGGTCGAGCCGTGCTGGGCGTGCTGCTGCTGCCAGTGGCGGGCGGCGCCTGGGCGTCATCCACCACGCGCTCGGGCCGCACCGAGTGCTCCAGGCTGATGGTGGTGGTCACCCCGGGCTCCCGCACGCCCACCGCCCCGCCGCCGGCCGCGGCCCTGCGGCACAGGTTCTGCCCCATGGCGTGGACGCGCGTGACGGTGGGCAGGGGCATGTTGGCGGGGAAGCGGAGCAGGTAGCGCACGGGCCGGCGGTCCCCCGCGGCCAGGCGCGCCAGCAGCGCGCGCCGCCCCTCCTGCAGCTGCAGCGTGCCGGCGTACTTCTGTAACCCATCCAAAGCTCAGGGACTTGGCTCCGAGGGACGCACCTCGGCGCCGTCAGTGTCCTGACGACGGTCCTTACCGTGGTGAGCGCGGCCGCGATGGTGAGGTCGACGCGCAGCACGAGCGGCATGTCCGTCGGGGGCGTGGGCACCGTCACCACCCCGGCCCAGCCACCGCCGCGCCGCTCGTACCGGAACACGGACGGGCACGGCGACATGGGCACCCCCATGGAGCGGGGGCGGCTCAGCGAGCCAGGGGCGGGCGCGGTCTGCACCAGGCCGCAGCACCACAAGCAGGCCGACAGCGCGCCCAGGCTCAGCATCCTGGAACTGTAGCCGTCCCTTTAATAAAATGTCCTCCAGGACAGCTCCTGCGGGAGCGCGTTTAGGTCTCCGCGAGTCCCACAACACAAGCCGACCCGTACGTAGGCTGCCTGTGCTTTCTCAGACGTTGACTGTACCTCGAGCGCACATGCCCGAGCTCGTCGCTAGTCGCTGAAAGACAGGATTACCAGGAACAGGGGAAAGGAGTTCCCGGAAGAGCGTCTTGTTTACGTGTTGTTGCTGCGGACACGTACTTTGAACAGGCCGATATGGCATTAAGTTCCGACAGTGCGCTTTTTGAGAAGAAATGAAGAAGTCGGGACCGGAACCAGTACCTAAAATGCGCTTATTTTTGTCATTTGACAGTGCAGTTCGACGTAAATGACCTCGATTAAATCTCTAGTAACTGTCAATTTTAGTTTTCACTGATTTAAGC